ATACTAATGTAATTAAGCTATATGCCTTATGCATTTTATATCAAAATAACTTTTGGGGTTTCTTATCTATTTTATTTCACAGTTGTAGCTTGACATATAGACTTCCTACAACGCTTAAATTTTAAAAAACAAATCTTTAAATGGAGAGTAGGGGAAGCCTAAAAGAAAGAGGCAATTTTTTATACTCAATTTTATAATTAAAAAATACTAGAGCTTCTTATTATGGATTATGATATTTTCTCTCGAGTCTCTTTATTTGTTTCTCATTGAGCAAATAAGATAAAAATTAGGCGTGTGTAATATATTCTCTCTAATCTCTCTATAACATTTTCTCTAGTCTCTATTCATGAAAGGTGTGGTATGAGTAGTTAGAATTAATCCAAATGTCAATTAATTCTAATACTAATGTAATATAGTGGTATGTGTAGTTAGCATAAATCCCAATATCAATCCAAACCACTATATCCCATCATCTAATGAGGGTTTCGCAGTATAAGGGTAATCTCATGAAAATATCATGTTATAACTATTTTGTTGGTTTTGCCTTTAATTGAATATATAAGCAAACTTATCTATAAAATTAAAATATCATGTTAGAATTATTTTATTTCTATTTGTTTAGCATAATTCTCTACTAGAATATGTTTTTGGAATTATGGCAAATCCTAAAGGCATTATTTAAAAAAGAGGGCCATAGTAGTAAACCATAGTGACTATAAGGAAAAATCAATATACAATTGGGATTAAGGTTGTCAAACATCAAAGTGGACATCACCATTCGAACAACATTGGGATATGTTGTTTTGTGGGTTTCATTTGATATGTGATCTACTTTATTTTCTTTTTACATGTAATACGTCAACAACTAAATGAAAAGTTCAAATTATATATTATAGTTACATTCATTACATATAATATTTTTGGCTTCATTATTATATTTTATTAATTAATGAACATCATATTCTTGTTTTTAAAAAATAATAGTTTTTAAATAACTAAAAACTTATCAAGAAACTTAAAATTTTATTCTGATTTCCTCAAAACCCCTTTGTGTATTCTGCATCAATAAATTAGATTATGCACACCAATCCAATGAGAAAATTATCTAACAAAAACATCTTAAGGACTAAAGTAACATAAAGCTAAAAAATTTTTTCTAATAAAAATATTAAGGGCTATAAGGAGCAATATAAATGGCCATGGTAATTAAAAGATGAATAAGCAAAGGTGACGTAATAAACGGTTTAATAGAGGATATACATTTTTTGAAAATAATGAGATATAAGTAGGTAAGAAAGATTAGTACCTAAATACATAAGGTCAAAATCTATAGTACAAAGAAATGTACACTTTGGAATTATTATCATTATTTTTAGAATCCATAAAAAGTTTAAATTATCTTATTAAAACAAAGTAATTATGGGGGTATGATAATGTGCTATTTGTAAAAATATTTATTAAGATAATCAGAACAAAAAAAGATAATGGTTATAAGTTTATTTTTTAATAAAGCCGTGGGTTATTACAAAATCAATACATTAAACTATGAGTTACCTATTGGAATTACTAAATCTGAATGAAATTTTATAAGTTCATAGGAGTATCGCTTGAGCAACAAACCATAGTGCACTATGAATGGAATGGATCATCATGAAGCATTGCTACATTATTAAAACCTTATTGGGAAAAGTGCTCTACAAAATTTTACAAAAAATTAACATTTATATGGTTGCCAAAAGAACTATATAATTTTTTTCTTTGTGGTAAGAGATGTAGTGATGATTCAATTGCATCAATTATGGAATCAATTAAATAAATTTTAATTCTGAACACAAAAAGCAATCAATGATAAAAATGCTTAAGAACTAAATCTAAGAGGATGTAGAATATTGTATGTACTTGGACATTCACAATCATCACCAAGAAAGTTCATATTGGTGCACTGATGTATAATACTTGTCAAGTTATATACTTCTTATATTATATCAAGTTCAAATATTTCCCTAAAAGATAGTTTGATTGTTGCTTTCCCTTAAGCTTAAATATTACATTAAATTTAACTTGCTAATTCATTTAGTTAATAACTGACAATAAAAAATATAAATAAAAGTGGAATGATTAATGAAAGGTGAAATAACTAAGTATCAAACAATCAAAAATAACCCTTAAGGGTAATTTTCACTAAAAATATTAGTAAAGAGTTGACTGATTATTACCAAAATTTTTAATAATGGACAATGGATTTTTAATAATTATTCATTGTGGATTGTTATCATCGATGGATTATCCATTGCAGAGTTGTTTTGAGACAACCGTCCTCATCCCTAATTATTTCTCCCCCCACCCCCCACCTCTATTTCTCTCTCTCATATTATTAGTTAATTAGTTTCTAATTATGAATTAAGTAGATAATATTGGAGTCCTGCTCGAAATGTTGTTTGTGACAAGATCGGGAGAGACAAGTTGAGAAACTATAAAAAAGTATTCGTAGGGCAATGTATTTGAGATGAGTATCTAAGGAAAAATATGGAGGCGGAAATTAACTAAAATTGTGTAAATTGATACAAATGTTCGATGATTGTACACTTCGAAGCATATTTCTTTTCAGGTCCTAGCAATGCTCAATCTCTCAACATAATCATAGAAAGTAATTGTGATGTCATAAAAAAAAAGATTAAGAGAAGATGAGTTTAGGATCTCATTGAATGGAATATCAAAAATCTTATTTAATTAAAAAAATTTAGAAAATAAAGCTTCATGAAATTATATTAAATTACTTGTATGAGAGTTAAAGTTTGTGTCATAAATTACACTCATTAGAGAAAAAATGTGTGAAACAAGAGATTAATAACTTGATTAAAAAAGTAGACATTATTTTTTATAAAATGATGACTGTATGCTACAACAACAAAGAAGTAATCTTTGTAAAACCAAAATTTTCATGCATATTTTATATGCTAGAACTTTGGTTTTTAGTATAACTTTTTGTTTAAAAGCAAATTAGGTTTTATTTCTTCTTGCCCTCAACATGTAATTAAGCATTCCACAAATATGATATGCATAAAATGGTTACCTTGTTTCATTTTTATGAAGCATAAAATTATAAGGATTTGTCAAAATAAAGTTTAGAATGAAACAAAATTAGTTTACTATTCTTAAAGCCCACTAGGCCTAGTTATTTGGTGATTGATCTTCATTCACATGGTTTTGTGTTCGACGTCCAACATATTCGAGTATTAGCATAAGAGAAAAAGTAACATTCCTACTCTTCTGGATAGGTAATCTATCGACATCATTTTTCATTTAATGTGATTCATATGACAAGTTAAGCATAATGGAGTCTATCATTAATTAGGAACACAAATATTGAGAAGTGCCATATATAGATATGTAGCCATTCTTTCTTGCGTAATATTTAAATGAAGAAATTGCATTTTTAGTGATTATTTGAAATAAAATAGTGCGACTCAATAAGATTGTTATATAATTTATTGGATTGATTATAAAAAATTGAACATTGTAACCCTATAAACATAATGTCTTCATAAATTTTTCCTACCAAATAGTGTACTATAAAATATTTTGTAAGTTAGTTGAAAAATATTATCATTAGTGGATGCCCAATAAATTACTCTATTTATTATCATATAAATCATAATAACATCATACAAATTAGGTCATATCATAATTAGCTGTACAATATATTATGGATTAGGAGAAATATAATTTAATAGATGAATTTTTTGTATAGAGTTGAAATAATTATTGGTGTATAATATCAACATCTCTTTTCCATGGTGTAAAATTAAGGGTCATATTCAAGATCTAGGAAAGAAGTTTTCAATCAATGTATGAGTCACAATAAAGTACAGAATGAAACAAATTTAATTATAGTATTCTTATAGCCCACTTGATCTAGTTGTTGGGTTATTTATATTCAATCAAATGATTTTGTGTTCAAGATATCTAAAATATTCATGTCAACACAAATTAAAAAAAATACAGTATTTCAACTTTTCTGGATATGTAGTCTATTGACATCATTTTGCATGTATTGTGCTTCATATGACAGGTTAAGCATTATAGTGCCTGTCGTAAATTTTGAATACAAATATTGAATAATACCAAATAAAGATATGCACGCATAAAGAAATGATTTTTGATATTATCGGCCAACTAGTTATTGAGAATATAGTTGAGCCAGATGTTGAAGAGCTTCATAAAAATTTCCTTCAAATGTCTAAAATTAGTGAAAGCTAGTAACTGTTTTGGTGATAATTAACAGTTATATGATTTATTAAGTGCAACAGAACAAACTTATCCCTTGAAATATTCATTGGCACTAGAATTATCGATTAGTTGACTAATTATTGACTAATTCTGCAGGTGATAATTGATCAGTTTCTTAATGAATGCTCGAAAAGATAGCGGTAGAATTTATAAAAATAACAAAAGATCCCAGAAAAGAAAAAAAAAACAAAACCTTGCTTTGACAGGTGATAAGAAAAAAAGAAGATAACATCCTAAGAAAAATAACAAATTATGTTTTAATGCATGAAAAGACTAATTAAATGATTTTTTTGAAATTAAGCATTGGAAAGAAAAGCAGCTTGTGCAAATGATTCTGGCTTGTCAAAGAAACAGAGATAAGACTCAATAATAATTAGAAAAGGATACCATAAATTTAAGTGAAACCGGATTAAATAATTGAGAGTATGATAAAAATGAAAACAATGGGTTTTGTCATCAATTTTGATATTTGGTCTAGAATATAAAAAATGGATGAGAGAGGTCGTGGATTTGTAAATAGCAATGTTTCGGTTCGGATGTATGTTAGTGTCCCTATAAAATATTGTCTCAATCAGAAGGAAAAAATTAAAGAATCAATTTTAGCATTACATTCGGTTGTAAAAGAAGCATATGACTATGATTAAATCAACCCTAAGGATGGAAGCATTGGTTATGATTAAATTCAGTAAAAATGCAAAAGTAATATTGTTCGCAACTACACTCAAAGTCATCCGATAGCTTAAAATGCATTGTAAATTGAAGGGCAGAATTAGCAAAAACTCTGCAAAATACCCCGTATGCAGAAAAGATTTGGATTTTTTTTTTTATTCTTACTCATGCGAAAAAATCACAATATCCACTTAATGGTCATGATTTTAAATACAATCCAGAATGTTCAGTAGAAAGCTCGTTCAATCCAACAGGTTCGGGGTTCATATTGTTTGTTACATCAATTGAAATTGAAACAGCGACCAAATCCTGAAAGACATTTGGCAAAATCAAAATAATGTTGTAATTTGGCGAGCACTAAAATGTAAATAAAATAAAGGAAAATTTTGTTGGCATGAATATCAAAAAAGCTTTTGTTCCTTCCAACAAGATCCGAGGATCAATAAAATAAGCATCCAATATGATGATAATAACAAATACAAATAAATAAATAAATGCAACTTAATCTATTTTTTGGTACACAGATGCTTGGTAATTTATTTATAGTGGAATAAAAATCAATTTGGTCCAAAAAAAATAAAATAAAAAACACTGTCATTGCCAAGCCCGGACGTGAAAAGTGGAGGGTTGCGTTAAGTAGTCGACAGCCAGTGTAAATATTATCAAAAAAAATTATGACATGAATCTTTTTGATCATTATCTAAGTGCTAGGGCGTCCCCTGGAAGCGACGCGCTGTATAGCCTGAATACAGTAAAAAGTGTACAAGAGACGGTACACCAGTGTTCGGGTGTAGTGTCAAATAAGCAAGAGTTCCCACATTACGGACGATTGCGGGTAAAGAAGTTAGTCCATAAAACTAATGAAACTATTATTAGGATAGGATAAACTAATATTAGCATAGGATATTGGAATATAAGTACTCTCAATGGAAAATTAATGGAATTAATTGATATTATGATTCATAGGAAAATTAACATCTTTTGTATTCAAGAAACTAAATAGGTTGGAGAAAAGACTAAGGAAATTGATAATTTAGATTTTAAACTTTGGTATTCTGGTAATAGTCGCACTAGAAATGGTGGTGTAATTATAGATAATAGTTTGAAAGATAATGTTGTAAAAATTAATAGAGTTGGAGATAGAATTATAGTTCTTAAGATTATCATTGATGCTAAAATTTTTAATATTATAAGTGCTTATGTTCCTCAAACAGGTTTAGATACAGGGTCTAAAGATAAATTTTAAAATGACTTAGAAGACCTAATACAAATGATACCTCTTCAAGAAAGAATTTTGATTGGAGGTGATTTAAATTGACATGTCGGTAGAGTAGTAGTAAACTTCAGAAATACTCATGGTGGTTACGGTTTTGGAGTAACTAATGAAGAAGGTAGAACTATTTTAGATTTTGTTTTAGCTTATGATTTTGTTATTACTAATATTTTATTCAAGAAAAGAGATTAACATCTTATTACTTATAAGAGTGGATCTAATAAAACACAAATTGATTATTTTCTTATGAGAAGAAGAGATCTTCGATAAAGATTTTAAGGTTATTTCAAGTGAGAATCTAAGTACCCAACATCGTTTATTAGTTCTAGATTTTAAGATGAAGAGTTGTAAAATAAAGAATATTTGACTCGTCATCGTAGAATTAGATGGGGGTACCTAAAAGACATAAAATTATTTTTATAAATAAAATCCAAGATTTCCATATTTGGGATGTTGATGGAGAAGCAAACGTTATGTGAGATAAAATAACAAACACTATTAAACAAGTAGCAAAAGATGTGCTCGGAAAATCAAAAGAAAAAAATTTTATAAATAAAAATAGTTGGTGGTGGAATAATAATGTGTAAGAAAAGATAAAATATAAGAAGTTATGTTATAAAAACTGGTTTGAATGTAAAAGCTTAGAGAACTGGGAAAAATATCAAACAGCTCGCAAACAGTCTAAAAGAACTATTTGTGACATTAAAATTTTGCTTTTAATGATCATTATAACAGATTAAATACTAAAGAGGGTGAAAAATATGTATAAACTAGACAAAAAAAGAGAAGAAAAGTAAAGATTTAACTCAAGTAAAGTGTATTAAATATGAAAATCAAAAAGTACTTTTAAAAAGATATCAACATAGGTGGGTGAGTTATTTTTATAAACTTTTTAATGAAGGATTTTATAATTAAAGCACCCACATCAATAAGTATTTCAGTTTGAATACAATAATTAAAGATGGCACTTTCCTTGGTCACTTTACTGATTTTCATGATAGAAAGAAAATTAGATGAAATAAAAAAATGTCATTTCTTTGATGCAGGGTTTAATAATGATGAAGAAAAACTTACATGTTAATGAGGGTGAATTTAGTGTGTTAATTTTGTAAATGTTTTTTTAATATTACAAAATAAAGGGGATGCATAAAAGGGTGCAAATTATAAAGGAACTACGTTTATGTGTCATACTTTAAAGTAATGAGAGAAGGTAATTGAGCATAGGTTAACACGCATTACAAAGATTTCTCATAATCAACTTGGATATATTTCGGGTATGTCTACTATGGAAACTATTCATTTATTGATAGGTTTGATGGAGAAGTTCAGAGATAATAAGGAGAATCTACAGTTGATTTTTATTGATTTAGGAAAAGTTTACGATATGGTTCCAAGAGATATCCTTTGGAGAGTTCTTGAGAAGAAAGGTGTTGATATGACTTATATTCAAGTGATTAAAGATATGTATACTAGAGTTGTTACTTGTGTTCAAACCGAAGGAGGATTGACAAAATATTTTCCTATTTCTGTTGGTTTACATCAGGGATGGATCGGTTTTAAGCCCATATCTTTTTGCTTTAGTTATGGATGGTCTTACAAGACAACTACAGGAGAATGTAACTTGGTGTATCCTTCTCGTGGATAAAAAGAGAGAAAAAGCCCAGGAGAAACTTGTATTATGGAGGTCTACATTGGAGTTTAAAGGCCTTCATTTAAGTAGAACTAAAACTGAATACAGGAATGTAATTTTAGTGGTAGTAGCTATAGTGACAGAAGTGTGATTTTGGGTGATCAAATTATTAAAAGGTGTGAACAATTTAGATATCTTGGGTTCGTTGTTCAAAACGATGGTGATCTAGATGGGGTGATATAGATGGGGATGATGGGGATGTTAATAGTAGAATTCAAGTTGGTTGGTTGAAGTGGAGAAATGCTTCGGGCCTTTCGTGTGATAGAAAAGTACAGTTTAGCTGAAAGGAAAATTTTATAAGACCGTGGTGAGACTTGCAATGCTTTATGACGCTGAACGTTGGCCTTTAAAAGAGAAGCATAATAATAAGTTAAGTGTTGCCGAGATGAGAATGATTAGGTGGATGAGTGGCTTTACACTTAGAGACAAAATGCGAAATGAATATATCCGTGATAGGGTTGGTGTAGCTCCTGTGATAGAAAAAATTAGAGAAAGTAGTCTTAGATGGTTCGGTCACATTAAACGTCGACCATCTGATGATCCGATTAGGAGAGTAGATCTTTTAGATTCGACTTGTGTTAAGAAAGACAGAGGTAGACCTAGGAAGACTTGGGCTTATTGTATAAAAAATGATCTTAATTTACTAGAACTAAATGAAATTATGACACTAAATAGGACGCAATGGAGAAAAAGCATTCATGTAACCGACCCCATGTAGTGGGATTAAGGCTTTGTTGTTGTTGTAGTTGTTTGTTGGAATAAAAATCACTATTGGTAACACACCAGAAAATAAACTTGGGATTTACCAATTACAAAATGTATGTTTCAAGCTAGACAAGTTGGCCAAATTTCATTCAGTTTGATTGAGGTTTGAATGCAAGGGAAACATGCTTTCATTATATCTTCTATGTATAGAGGTCCTCCTTTACAAATAGGCAAAAAATTTTGGAAGAAAGCAAGTACAAGCAAAAATCCATCAAATGGAAGGCATTAAAATTAGGGAACTAAGAGAACCCATAATTGACAATACTCATAAATAATATTGCTATTTACAAATCAAATAATTTATTAAAAATCACTAAAATTAGGAAAATAAGTAAAAGAAAAAAATTATTAACAATTACACTAGCTTGCAAACTTAGTATGTCATTGATATCACTCATACATATTCTCTACAATGTAATTAAAAAGATAACCACAAAGTTTGACATATAGATCTGCAGATTGGTGGCCGAAAATATGTATTCTCAAGGTATTAGTAAATTTATCAATAGAAAAAGTATGCACGATATGAGGAGTGTTTTGTTTTGAAGAAAATGAATGTTGATAGTGATATGATTTGTGCATAAAAGAAATACCAGATTGGCACACAATATGTTGCACGGAAATTGCAACAATAATTGGCTAGAGAAAATGAAATATTAGCGCCCAATTTTTGGATAAGTGAAATGAACTAAAACACTTTGGAGGCAATAGGGATAACTACCATATATTTGGCTAAAGTGGAGGATCCGACAACAATTTTTAACCATCATCAATATTTGTTGTGCAATTGACATACAAGAAGGAATGAAATGTGTTAGGTGAGACTCTTTCGAAGAATAATCCATCATTTGAATGATGTTCTTGTATACACAGTGAAGGGGATAAGGTTTTGTGTAAGGGATCCGGTTATGTCATTAAGAATAAAGTTAGCTTTCCAGATTCCGAGAGTGCAAGCAGAATTTGGAATGAGTTCTATGTATAACTTTATAATTTGTGGTGGACATTGTTGGGTTCCATATATGAAACCAAGGAAATCCAAGCTTACATGGAAAGTATGGAATCCGCATTTCAAGAGGTGTAGTTTGTTGATGTGAGGCTTAGTAAATTTTATGTGGTAGCGTTGTTGGCAATTATAGTGTTATTGGATTAATGGAAACTGAGGATTGTGAGGACTATGTTTATGGCAGCCACAAAAGTGGAGCTAGGAGCATCTGCCATTGGAAGCTCTAATAACATGATGAACCCATGGGCATGTGCCATTGGAAGCTCTAACAACATGATGAAATAGCAACGAAGAAAAGAATTTAATAGTAGTTTATGATGTTGGTCGTTAATGTATGAATTGCATTGCATAGTTGCACATGATAGATAACTATAAGAATAATTACAAACCAATTGAGTTAATTCAAATCAGTAAATTTAGGGAACTAATTAAAACAGCTTAGTATTGACAAATATGGGAATTTATAAATTTGCTGTATCGTTGGCATCATAAATAGATCAACCAATATTAATGGCAGACCAAAACTATTTAGTAGTTGGTTTCACCAAAAACTAAACTGATTATTCAGATTTTTTTTAGACAGGTCTTGTTTAGTAGGAGGGACACTGCTTTTATGTTTACTATCAGGGAAGATCACGAGAAAGAACCACAATTATCATAACAAATAATCTTAAGTTGATTCATAACATCAGCATATAGTATTAGCATAGAGAACTTCATTGAATGGTTTGTCTTAAAAAGAATACAAGATCATAAACCAGATGCTAGCTTGAATATTGATTATCAAAGTGGGTATAATAATTATCGCAACTTTGTTGAAGCCTGTAGCAGTGCTGTAAGAAGTAATTACCTGCTTTTTGTCATCGGTTCCATGAATCTCCATATTGGTTCTACCAATTTGATTGTTATCAGGTGGATATTCACTGCCAGAAAAATAACTCAAATATTACACCATATTACAATCACATTTAAAAAACTTAAATAAATTTTTATGAGAATAAAAGGTGAATACTACTTTATAGCATCAGAAATCGTCGGATAATCCATTTCATCATCAATATCTTCTATTTTATCTGCAATATCTTCATGGTCATCTTCCTGCAATAAAATACATAGTTATATATGGACATTAAACTCTTATCATAGATTCAATATTCTATAAAACCTGTCCTTCAAAGAAAAATTGAAGTTTCGATTAAAAAAATATAGAAATAGTATATTCATTCCGTATGTAGTTTTAAAATGTCCGCATCACTGCAAATGATCTAACAAAAAATATTGCCTTGACAAAAAAAAAATTTTTTTCTTTTTTATTAAATATGCGTATGATGCAGTTCATCATAAGCCAATTACTAGGTTAATGGCAAAAAAGTAATTATGGTGCCCACTTCCTCATGAAACTGTAACTTATTTATGGAATCTAGACACTTTGTTTTGTCGGTGTTTATAGATTATGATGGTGAGCAAACATAAATTAGATATAAGAAACTCCATCAATCCTAATTGCAACTCTCTCCAACTATGAAGAGAAATGAAATCAACACCATCTTCTTGCGAAAAATTGAAATTAAGGTCAAGGCCGTTGAGAATAAGTTTAATTATACTGAAGTTGCTGCAACAAAATTTGTAATGTTATTTTTTAAATGAGATTTGGACTGTTGACAAGAACAATTCGTTTCTTGGACTTTGGTGGCTGAGAGTTCCTTTGGCGAGGGGTTTGATTTGTAAGCTATTTTCTTCTTCTACTAGTAAAAATTAAATATAATATTAGTATTCTCTTATCCCCTCTAACATCCCCTTGCATATCCTTCCATGCCCTTGGAGAAAATGACAGATATACTTAACTTTCTGATATCGGTCTACAGAAGGTTTACAAGACCTAGCCTTCATTTAACCCCCAATTGCCCAACTAAAATCACTTGTAAAATCACACTAAACATCCGTTTCAATATGCAAGCATTATTAAATAATCTCCAAATGATTCTAGGACAACAAATCCCCCCATTTGGAAAAACTAACTTTCCCAATACAAGCCTACAAGCTCCCAGCCATGAACAGAATTCATGGTTTGGCTGACCCTAGCTGCTCCACCACCTCCCTAAACTTCTAGGGCTCCAATGTGATAGTTGAAGTTTCCTACAGCAAGGACAAGGTTAAGATAAATTTATCAAAATGGTCCATCACATACAATTTACAGTACTGCATTTGTCGATCCACCAGTAGAAGACCCATGATAAACAATTTAGAGTACTGCAATTTGCAGATCCACCAGTAGAAGAGCCATGATAAACTGTATATGCAATTAAAATAGTTTTACGGACATCATTTTAGCATAAACATCTCATGACAAAGCAACTCAAAGAGCATAAAATTTCACCCTCATATTTCTGGCCCTCTCTCTCCTTGTGCAGTAATTGTGAGCAATTTTGCTCATAAATGTCAAATTGGTTAATCTAGTACCTGCATTAATGAGTTCTCCCAATTCACAGGGGGGTCATTTCTTATGCTCAAGAAAACTACAATAATTAATACATGGACAAAATAAAAAATTTCATCCACTTGATTTTTAGCATAGCAGCAAGGAAACCAAGTTCATACAATACAAACCATATTTTGTGGCGAGTTGTGGAAGTCATCAAAAGCAGTGTATGTTCGTGTTCACGCAAATTAGTAATATAACATTAAAATGAGATCTCCAGAATCTGATGTGACACATTAAATAAAAAGCTATGCTGGATGATCTCTTGTGAAATAAATTATAAGCAGAAAATTTTTACCTCTTCAAATTTCATAAATGGAAGCCTTTCATGCAATTGAACACTTGGTCTATGTTCCATAGTTGATAGGGTTTGAAGAACCTTAGTCCTGATTGCATCCAATAACTTGCTAGAATTCTTGTTCTCCATATTACTTGGTGCAACATGAAGAGTATAATCTGGACCAAAATAACCAGAGTACTCATGCTCAGGAACCCTATCCTCTAATTCTACACCAAGAGCAACACCTGTCTGCTTAAAGGTAAAAAATGAAATAAGGAAAATGAGAAAAAAAGTAGATCAGCCAACATTTGTGCCGAGTAAGAACCATCAGACGAGAAATAATAAGATATCCATAACACTGTTCGTAATGGTTTTTTTTTTCACTTTTTTTCTTAGCTTTCCAAGTAAAAAAGAAATGAAAAAAGATAAAGATCAAGAATAATTTTACATTGAGGTTTTCATCGTAGCTATGTATCATTGGGCATTAGAATTAGTTTATAATAAAATAATTTGAAACCCCCTGAAAAATCTAATCGTACAAATTGACGTGCAAGTGCTTCAATGCCCCAAAAGCCACTAGCAGTGCCTTGTGCCTTGCCAGACAGTACATGTAAAAAAGAAAAGAGGCTTGGTGGTGCCATAATAGGGCCTCTTATCAAGCACCAAATGTCTCAGCTCAAGAGTGAACATTTTTATGTAAGTAGTTTTTGCTGTGTAGAACAATGAGGAAATAAAGTCACACAAAAAGCAAATAATCAAAAATGGTGCGATTTACATGGTTTGGCGCAAATCCGCCTACATCCACGAAGAGAGGTTATTCCGCTATCAACAGGTGGGGATAAAGGAAAAAAATGACCGATTTAGAGTTACAACTCCGCACAAAAAAAATCAGCCATAACCCCCTCTATAAATAAGAGAGGACTAGAAACAACAAATTAGGAATATTTCAAATATAAAAAAGATCCTGTAATTAGGTCTAACGTAGTTATGTTACCTAATATCGATCTTCCTAATATAGAAAATATCATGTAATTAGATTCCTCTAATTAGGTTACTTAATATTAAATTTCTTAATATATAAAAGATTATATAATTAGAGCTCTACTAAGTAGGTTACGTAATGTCATTCTTCCTGATATACACACATCCTAATACACAACCATTAAATTTAATACTTTCCCGAACGATTGTGATAATATAGATCACCTCACAATTTATCTTTTTTTCCCATTCTAACTCTACATAATAAATATTAATTTTGGATGAGAATTTTTCATACAATACTTTTTGGATAAGATTGCATCAATACTAAAATAAGATTTTGGGCTATATTGAAAACAGAAATTGTACCTGCTATTCACTAAACTAAATGGTGCAATGTGCCGCAAATTAAAAACCTAAATGTCCAAAGCCGAGTAACGTTCCACACAACAATAAAGCATAATAAAACAATAATGCCATACAAAACTGCTAAAAAGGAGGACAACGAAAAGTGTTAACATTGCATAACATTGGTTTCAACGAAATGATATAAAATATCTCACTGATTGGCAAAAGTCCTTTGATAGGAAAAACAATACTAAATAGGTAACAATTTAAACTATAAAAGTGCTAATATGATAGGATATAAAATCAAATAATAAGCATATATAAAATTTGCATTTTAATATTACCTCATAACACCAACATCGAGCCACATTTCTAATTGTATACCCGCCACCACCAAGGAGTAGCAGTGGCACATTAAATGATCTCATATATCTCACACACTCGCCATGCCCTTTTATAGAAAGATTGAAACAACCAAGCCGGTCTCCAGATAAAGAGTCAGCACCACACTGGAGAACAACAACACCTGGCTGGAAAACTTCCATGACTTTTGCCATGATGGGTTTGAAAAGTGACAAGTAACTCTCATCATCAATCCCATCATTCAAGGGAACATTTATAGCATAGTTTCTCCCTTTAGCAAATCCAACATCACGTATATCTCCTGATCCTGGAAAATAATCTCCAAATTTGTGGAATGAAACTGTCATTACTCGATTAGTTGTGTAGAAGGCTTCCTCTACACCATCTCCATGGTGTATATCAATGTCAACATATAAAACACGCTAACGGAGCATTAAAAAAATATATTAGAAACTAAAACTAAAACAAGATGAAACCAAAGCAATTCATGATACTAGAGAAAAACTGCAAAAAAAAACACCAATCAATAACTTATGAAATTATGATAAAAAGCAATTCAAAAAAATTTAAGTGAAAATGCACTCGAATGCACCCGACATATGACAAAATTCTATGAACTATTCGTCGAAGGTGTCCTCAGAAATTTTCTAAAAGATAATCTCTAATGGCCAATGTATGCATAAGTTGTATCAATTTCTTTTCCATTTTAATTCTTTCGCCAATTAGAATATACATGAAACTTTGTGAGCTATTTGAACCTTCAATAATAATACTCCTAACACAATACTGATGAAAAAAAAGAAAAGAATTTTGAGTCAAGAGGAATATAGTCTTGCTTCAAGTAGTTGATAATCTCAAGGTTAATACAAAAGATAAAGGAAAGTTGGAGAAGTCGAGATAAGAATATACATTCTTAATTTCTCATGCATTCATTTAATAGCAAAATAAAAATTGATTAAGAAAATGTGTCATAGAGTAGTGAAGAGAACAATACCAGATGAGGGAAAGTAAATCTCGATGTTCTTATCCAATGCATAATTATGGCATTAATAACAATTATTAATACCTATAGATTAGTACACTAATTAAAAACAGGCGTCCTAACTTATAATTAAATGGTGAATTCTAATCCAGTGTCAAAAATAAATCAATCATATGATGAAACATTAAATCTTCTAACTGATTAGTGAGTTCATAATTATCATGCTAAGCTATACGACAACAACAACAGAGCCTTAATCCCACTACGTGAGGTCGGCTACATGAATCCTTTTCTCCACTGTGTCCTATTTTGTGTCATATCTTCATTTAGTTCTACTAAATTAAGATCATTTTTTATACAATAAGCCAAAGTCTTCCTAGGTCTACCTCTGCTTTTCTGAAGATAAGTCGAATCTAAAACATCTACTCTCCTAATCGGATCATCAGATGGTCGACGCTTAATGTGACCATACCATCTAAGACGAATTTCTATAATTTTGTCAGTCACAAGAGCGACACCAACCTATCAAGGATATATTCATTTTCGCATTTTGTCTCTAAGTGTAAAGCCACTCATTCACCTAATCCTTCTCATCTCTGCAACACTTAACTTAGTATTATGCTTCTCTTTTAAAGGCCAACATTCAACTCCATAGAGCATTGCAAGTCTCACAACCGTCTTATAAAATTTTCCTTTCAGTCTAAGCGGTACTTTTCTATCACACAAAGGGCCTAAAGTATTCCTCCACTTCAACCAGCCAACTTGAATTCTACTATTAACATCCCCATTTATATCACCATCGCTTTGAACAACAGACCCGAGATATCTAAATCGTTCGCGCCTGTTAATAATTTGATCACCCAAAGTTACACTTCTGCCACTATAGCTCTTGTTATTAAAATTACATTCCATGTATGCAATTTTAGTTCTACTCAAATGAAGACCTTTAACTCCAATGTAGACTTCCATAATGCAAGTTTTTTCTGGACTTTTTCTCTCATCTTATCCACGAGAAGGATATCATAAGCAAAAAGCATACACTAAGCAAAAAGCATCTATAAATGTCCAGTAAGACCATCCATAACTAAAAAAAAAAAGATATGGGCTTAAAGTCGATCCCAGATGTAATCCAACAAAAATTCGATCCCAGATGTA